GGGCTTTCTTTCTTTACCATAACAAGACTTGGGGGGGCCCCTTCTCTAGGGAAATATTGAATCATATGCATAAGGAAATCTGTATGGAAATATACCCATACAGAACTTCTCCACTTTATTCTTGATGATGTAATAAAGTGTATCTTCTGGCATCAAAAACCCAAGACTGAGTGTGGTTCCTCAGAGCAGCTGCTGAAGACACTACAGGGGGCGGTTCGTGCGCTTGCGTGTGCCTCAAAAGAGGGCTTACAATGATTTACAAAGATACATAACAGCTACAAGTGTATGCACTACTTGCTTTATGCAAGCACTATATAGGATAAATCACTATACAGGATTTACCCTATTATACTTTATCGACACGAATTGATAGGTGAAACAACAAACAGCCACCCACAAATAGTTTATAAACAAAGCATCAGGCTGTCTTTGAGTTCACATGAACAACGGTTAAAGTTACTCGTCGTCAGGCTACAGAAGAATACCATAATTCCTCTGTTCAGTTATGCCTAAGACATCGAGAGTCACGCAGACCTATAACAACCCAGCCACAACACATAATTGCGAATAACATGCCTTACCTTAACACAGAATCGACGACAGAGCCCAGCGTTTATTTTTTTTCTACGAATCTTTGAGTTAACATGTACTAAACATGAGTGGAATTTGCACCGCAGCGCCCCACACCTTGATGCTCATGACAAGAATAGCATGTATAGTTTTCTTTATTGAAGTGAATTGGGTTTAAATCGCCGTCATGCATGAATGAATGATATTTTTTGCAATTTTACACATAATAATCCACGATGATCACATTACACAAAACTGAAATTGCACGTCAAAATAACACATTGTCAATATTTTTTGAGACCCCCCAAAATTTCACAAATCACGTTTTCAGGGGAGCCCATGTCTTATTATGGGGAGCCAAGCTCCCCCTAGCTCCCCCGGAGTTCGCACCCTGAACATTAGGGTGAGTAAATGATGACAGAATTTTCTGTTCGAGAAGCTATAATTCTAACCAAATACTGAGCTTCATGCTCTTGTCTCTTTTTCATAGGGCCAAACTGCTTTGCTGGAAATCGCGTGATCTCAGCTGGAGAACGTGTTGAGATTGATGAGCGGACGGTGTGTTTCTGCACCTACCAGGATGGAACGTGGCAGACGCACCCTCACGCTTCATGTGAGGAGCACCAAGGAGAAGACAATGAAGCCACTGACTCCGACAACACATCCAAACAGATGGAGGAGCAGGAGAAAGAGAAAGAGAAAGAGAAAGAGAAAGAGAAAGAGAAAGAGAAAGAGAAAGAGAAAGAGAAAGAGAAAGAGAGAGTGTTCTCGCCCAGGCTGGATGCCATCCCATGAAGGGAAGTGTGCCTGGCACCAGCTCTCCTGACAGGCAGGAGGGGATGCAGAGCACCATGCAGGTGTCTGTGCCCAGGGTAAACACAACCTGCGCTGGGATAACTGCCAATGCTAACCTCTTTAGCCAACCTCACCACCCCCTCCCATCCTGACCCAGATCGGCAACCCACTGACAAGCAACATGCACTAATAAAATCTTCCACTATTATACATGGTACACTTGTAGTTCAGAAATTTGGGTCAGTAAGATTTAAAATAAATACTTTTATGCAGCAAGGTCGCATTAAATTGATCAAAAGTGCCATTAAAGACATTTACTATGTTACAAAAAAAATTCAAATAAATGCTGTCCTTTTGAACTTTTTATTCATCAAGGAATCTTGAAAATATATCAGGGTTTGTTGAGCACCAAATCAGCACATTAGAATGATTTCCAAAGTGACACTGAATACTGGAGTAATGGCTGCTGAAAATATAGCTTTGCCATCACAGGAATAAACTACTTTTTAAAATATGTTAAAATATAACGCAGTTGTTTTAAACTGCAATAATATTTCACAATATTACTGCATTTGTGATCAAATAAATGCAGCCTTGATGAGCATAAGAGACTTTTAAAAAATCTTACTGACCCCAAACTTTTGAATGGTAGTGTAAATGTGTGTATATTGTATACTGTATATCATGTTGTCTACTTCTTACTAGATGCAGTTATGCAGCGTCATATTTAAATATGGAGCATTGTATTTAAACAAAATGATTTCCCATTTTTCCATCTCATTCTTGCATGTTGTGTTAATGGGCACATTACATACTTTGGAAGTCTTGAATATTGTTTGACGTTTAAATGATTTATTCCATGTCCAATATTACGTGTTAATTAACAACTTCAATGTTCATTCCAACAAATAAATTTACACAATGCCATATTGTATTAGATATCACCAGTAAAATGTTGTTCTCCATAATGCTGATTACATATTTGCTTGTTTAGATGGGAAGGGGAGCATGCAATAAGAAACACACATTTTGAAAGGGCTGGTCAAATGGAAACATAATTTAAGTATTAAAATCAACTCAGGTTTGAGTATTTTCTCCTTGTCTCATTATTTAAACAACTGTTTCTTTGCATATGTGATGTTTTGTTGATTTTAACAATTTCAACAGAGCTAATTTACCAAATGCATGTAAATATAATGGCAACACTGTGTTTATGAATTACAAACATATAAATCATTTTATATGTATTCAAATTGTGACAATAGCCTATGTTATCTGCAACTGTGAGTCAAGATTCTGAAGCATTAATTTCGATCTCAAATATTTCATATAGCTAATATACCGTGTGGTTTGAAGGTTATTCCATTTCAGTATTTTGCAAGTTAATACTCCTTTTATGCGCAGATTATATTATATTAAGGTCACTCAAGTCTCATGAGCGCCACATGTTGCAAAACCTGATGAACATTTTCAATGTGTCAGACTCACACGTCACTGTATATCTGCAATGTATTTTCTACATATTGGACGTTACATTTTGAATCTATAATTCTATTATTAGCGGCTATAATTCCCCACACGTTATTGAAATACATTAGCGAGGCATACATACGCCTCACTAGGTGGCGATGCACGGATGATGGCGTTCAAGTGTGCGCCGGATGCTGCGAGAGCTGTGGCGCGCGCACGATTATTTCCCAGCATTCCTTTCTCTCTCTTCCTCTTTCCCTTTCGGCGACAATGTCTAAGAGAGGTAAGAAACACATATGAAAATCCATAATCATCCTTAAAATGAGATACACTGAAGCCCCATAAAGGAGTAAATGGGTTTAATTGATCATAGAGAACTTATATTTTCAATATATTAACGCCAGTTGTAAAGAATATCTTCGATAAAAACTAGTTGGGTACGTTTGCCGCTAGCGGGAGAATCCATGTTTGCCAAGTCCGCAGACTCAGGCTCGTGGAGCTAGTAGTATGATGATTAAACACTTCATACTCAAACTTTGTTGTGCGAAAGCAGGTTTTGGAACACAGGTTCACCTTAAATGGCATGTAAAAAAGCAATGTGACATTTAAAAGAACTAGACGTGCGAGTTGTGGACTGACAACATGCAACGAAGCAGGTCGACGCTCGGCTGGATGGTGGCGAGTTGAATCGCACGCTGACTTGCTAGCGTAATGCACATATTTGAGGTTTTCAGCTGGTATAGACCAGGAAAACAAACCGTGGGGTTAATAGATTCTGAAGTATTATTTTCCTCAGAAATGGTGTAATACCTGTATCGAGTGGAATCAGACTGGTGTCAGGCAGCAACTGTAACTCAACCGTATCGATAGCAATTAGACGTTTGCAGACCTAAAGGAACAGTTCACCCTAAAATGAACACGTTCCAAACCTGTAGCACTTCATTTATTTTTATGGAAAATACTGGCTTTTATGCAGAATGACAACCTCGGCCACCATTCACTTTTGTTGGGTCTTTTTAATGGCAGTGAACATGAACAGTGAGTGACTGATGCCTCGATCACTGTAAAGAGAACTGCACCAAATCTTTCCTTTGTGATGAGATTAAAATAGCTTTAATGTAAGTGACTTGAGGCTTTGCAGTGTTATTGGCAAAACGGTTGTTTGCTTATGTAGACAGCTTGTCAGTATGATTGTATTTGTAGTTGCTTTTTAAAGTCTTCATTTCTTGTAGCCAGAGTCAATCAGTTATAAATGAATGAAGTCACTTACTGGCTAGCTAAGCAAATAGAAAATGTGACCGGTATCTTTTGGCTGTTTTACCATACTGTTATAAAAGCTTAATGCATTTATCCTCCTGTTCAGGACGTGGTGGGTCATCGGGAGCCAAGTTCCGTATTTCACTGGGTCTCCCAGTGGGAGCAGTCATCAACTGTGCTGACAACACAGGTATGAGATCTGCCCGTATTTGGGCAAGTTATCCTTCTTAAAAGCACTTGCTTTGTCTGCTCAGTGGCTGGGTGAGTCGTCAATGAAGGAAATAGTAAATCCCATTGCTTATGGGTGAGATGGCAGTCGCCATGTGCTGTTAAATCTCAATCCGTGGTGGAACAAATGTTAGCTTGTTTTGATGACCCAGCTGAGGGTTAGCAGACCTGTATGTCAATTGAATTCATTTTAAGCGTAAAAATATTATAGAATATACTGAGTTGGTCTTTGCTCAGTTAATGACTTCAACTCGTTTTCATTTCTTTTTCCTCATTTGTAAGTCGCTTTGGATAAAAGCATCTGCTAAATCAGTGGTTCCCAACCCTGGTCCTGGAGGCACCCCAACACTGCACGTTTTGCATGTATCCTTAATCAAACACACCTGATTCAGGTCATCGGCTCATTAGTAGAGACTCCAAGACCTGAAATTGGTGTGTCAGAGAATAAGATCTTCTTTGGTATCCTTCTTAAAGCACTTGCTTTGTCTGCTCAATGGCTGGGTAAGTCGTCAATGAAGGAATAATAAATCCCATTGCTTTTGGGTGAGATGGCAGTCGCCATGTGCTGTTAAATCTCAATCCGTGATGGAACATTTTTCATCTCGTCTTGAAATTTGTCATTTTAACTTAATGTTCTGGATTTTGCTCAGGTGCAGTGCTGAATTGTTTTTGTTTTCTTTCATAGGCTCAGCTATCACAGGACCCGTGGCCAAGGAATGCGCAGACCTGTGGCCCAGGATTGCTTCCAATGCTGGTAGCATTGCCTGAGCGCAAATGTGGCTTGTCGTTTTCAATAAAATCCTCAAAGTTTACATGCGTCACTGTCTGTTGATTCCAAGGAATTTTGTCTTGACACTGGAAAGTTAAAACTGCAATATTTTGAATGTGTGTTCACATTTTATAAGCTATTTAATGCAAACTTCAGTTAAGGTTTTACAGACTGAGAATATTAAAAGTTTGATTCTTTGACTGAAGTATATGTGGTAAATACATTTGCGTGAGAAATATTGTCTGAGTATTTACATTTGACAAATGAGTATATGAAAGCTAAATTTATTCAGTAATGCATTAACTTTAAGAGCATTCATGAAATGTTAGTTCTTAACAGATAATTACCATGATAGTAATATTTTCTTAATCCTCTGGTATTGTTCATTTGGGGATCACACTTGTATAGTCAAAAGTGACTGAACACCTGAAATGTAACTTTTTTTTATTTTAATTAATATCAATGTAATATATTTTTGGTCAATATTTTTTTTGTATTTTGAGAGAATGTCATGGTACTATTATTTATGCAATCATTATGAAAAAAAAATTCCCAGTGAAAATAAATTTTTTTTTATTATTTTTCAATTATGGCTGTCTTTCATGTTAAAAAAAAGAGACTGCCTTAAAAATTAAATTTTTGAAGGCAGATTAGTGCCATCTGGTGAGAGTAAAAAAAGAAAAACATTGCAATTCCATGGTTTAGCCACTAGATTCCTATATAGCTCTATATAAAAAGGCTTATACATTCTCTAGTTGTATTTAGACATAATTTTAAGTTGTGGATTTGGATATATATTTAGACATTCTCAAAGACAACTTTTTGTAAAGGTTTAGATTTTTTGTTGTTTGAAATGTTGGTTTGAAATGCCGGTTTCTGCATCAATATTACTACAGTCAAACTTGGAACACAGAAATACATTTTGTTACACATAACATCAAAATGTAACAAACATTTCAACCTCTTTGAGTCTTCTGGCTCAATTTTGCTATATTGTTACAGACACACCAGTTGATTTGTGTGTATAATAGTGTTTTGTTTGTGTGTGTTTGTGAGTGTGTGTGTTTTGTATTTTTGATGTTTTAGAGTGTAACCCCTTTCTTGGTGTCTGTGTTTTTACTGATTGTGGCTGAGTTATTGAGTTTATTTCACGCATTTCCCATAAAGACATCGAACAATTACGATGAAGTAGCGATTTTTTAAAATTCAAAACTTTTTTTTGTTCGGTTTTTGTTCTAAAATGACCGAATTCAACACCAGTAAGAACTTTTAAGTTAAAATTGAAATAATAATAAACTTTTAAACCTCATACACTAGATGATTATATTGATAAATTCAGAAAATACAAAATACATTGTTAAACTGTTTTTGAGATGTTGCTAAATAAAATCAGAGCTTTACGTCTATATGACGGTAATTTAATCTTTTTAAAGTAGATTAGTTGTATTTTTGTCTCTTTTTTTATGTTTTGGGAACGTTACACAAAGCGTAAGATGTGTGGTTGTTATGGAGACCAGTTTGTTATGGATAATATGGAGGCGTGAGCTAGCAAGTTAGCTGTCCTCGTATTCAGTTGCTGAATTTCTGTCTTTTGAGGTAAATAACATTACCAGTTCTCCCCATAAAAGTAAATTGGGTGACTTTTCACGTAACAGTAAGAGCTGGTATGGAGAAATCTGATACGATAAATTTCAGTTCTCTTGAAAAAGAGCTACAAGCGGCGCTGGAAGCGGACAGGAAATATCAGAAGGAAAATGATGTCAAGTATAACTAAAACAAATCACACACAAAAATTCAAGAGTTCAGATGCGAAAGCCTCTAAATGCCGTCTGAAATGTTCTGCTAAAAGTAGCATTTTTATCAGGCTCCTATGTTTAGGTTCAGTAATTTTACTTTAATGGCAATGTATAGGTCATTTTCTAAGCCATTAAAGTGAAATAACTGAACATAAATATAGGAGCCTGATATAAATGTTCATTTTAGATTAAAATTTCAGACGGCACTCAGAGGCTTTTGTATCTGAACTCTTCAATTGTTACTTGAAATAAACGTTAACTGAAATAAATTGGCAAGGCAACAGTTCTCAAAATTGGCAAGTTTAACTTTGGCCTAATACAAAAAAAGGAAAATAACTGAAATAAACATGAATAAAAAAAATAATACTATAACCTAATTGATAATGAAAACAGAAATTGTAAAAACATTAAAAATATTTCTAAAAACTATTTTTGTATCTCAGTGATACTAAAATAACACTGGTGTGTCTTGTAACTGTTTTATGTTATGATTTCAGGGATATAGTACTTGCATCTCACTTACAGCCCCTTGACAGAAAGGACATCTCTGGTGCACCTCGAAAGCAGCCATGGAATCCAGTTCCTTTTAGCACAAAGCACAAAAGTGCTTCATCTGAGAAGGTCCAGGAGAGACATTTTATGAAGCAAATGACCTATATGTTGTCCCAATGCTAGATCTCACAATATATCAACTCACTTGAGAATGAAGTGTATAACTAACTAAATTCTGAATTTACTTTTAGCCACAGTTATCTGAGATCCAGCCAAGAAGTGCATCAGAGTTCATCCGTGACTGGCGCAGGTTTGCAGAAAGCTCATTAAGTACAGTCTCCTTGTGAGTCTGGGAGGCAAGGCTCTGCAGGAAATCTTCAGAACTGAGGTTGGCCTTGGTCTTCTAGGCGAGTTCCTTCTGATTCTGTCACAGTGTCTTAAGTCGGGATGAGGAAATAGTGATTGGAGTGCTGGACGTCCTTTCCAGAACTGGCTGTTTTGGCCTGAACCTGTCTCTTCTTAGTCAGGCGGATCAAAAAACCTGTGAGGAGCTTTTCCACAAGCTACAAGTTGCAGTAGGTGATTCTTCTGACACTTCAATGGTTTGTGAGGCCAGTCTGACACATGTGGAGGATGATGAGACTGACATTACAGCACAACTGAAAGCGTTAATGGGAAAATATGGCATCCAAAAATAGTTAATATTAAAATTCAATTGTTTTTTTTCCTTTGTACCTTAAACAGTTATATATATATATATATATATATATAATTTTTTCATATTTTATGCTGGCAGAAATATGCTAAGAGAAGTGCTGGCAAATTTTTTAGGGCCATCTGCCCATAGTTACTTTCAGCCTATGAGGCTCCAGAAGATAAGGAGGACATCTTTGCCAGCATGGCCTGACCTGCATTTCTTGTCTTTTGACACTGCTGCCTTCCTGGCTGATATAACCATTGAACTTCCTTGTCACTGTAAACCAGAGGAGACTCTTTCAGTAGTATGGTACTATCAAAAGCAAATTGGCTCCATGAACACCAAAGTCCTCACAGACTTTGAAGGCACTAAGGTGGTGGAATCATCTAAAGTTGGGAGTAGGGATGGGCGATACCTCTTATTTTATTTTCGATCCGATACCGATATTTTCAAGTCCAGTATCATCGATATAGATACCGATACCGATACCGATACCTATAAACTAAATTGATCTTTTAAATTATTAAAAGAATATAATCAGTAATTATACTCACTTAATATTAGATTTTAAAGCATCGATATTTTTATGTGAGGATCGATCCTTTCGATACAACATCAGTATCGAAAGTATCGATACTTAAGGATCGATCCGCCCATCCCTAGTTGGGAGAGGGTCGGATCTACGCAGTCGCTTTTTCATCCGTTTATTTAGTCTTCTCACCTCTCAGGGTGCAAAAAGTTGACTCAGGGCACTATATTTGTGGCACGGCCTCTGGTGAATTCTTCTATGGTTATGTTGATGTCCAGGAGGTCCGTCAAGTTTTATTTCCCTGGAACATCAAACAGAGGACTCAAGTACAAGAAGCAGAGCCCATCGGCATAAAAACTGAAAAGTTTCAGGTGTTCACCAGCTACGGGCCATGGTCTAAATGTGACCGCTGTGACGTCCAAGGGGAGCAGATGCGTAGAGGACTTTGTTACGTCAAAAGCATTTACCTCCATGTATGTTATCTGCGTAAATCAGACACAGTGGCTCCCTGTGGTTCCTCAGCCATTCCCCAACAGTTTGACGAGCTGACAAGCTCTTGAAGTTCCTTCAGTTTGATGATCGATCTTCTTCAGGTGTCACCATCCACTTCCACAATCACCCCACAGACTCTGATCTGGTCTTGACCTGTCCTGGCGCCAAACCGCAGTACGCTGTGGCCTGGGATAAAGGCTTAGTGCCGCTTTACCAGTCTCAGTTTATGGAGGGTCTGAATAAGACGTCTCGTGTCTTCATTGACACTGGTCACAACCTACACTTCAGACCTGTGCGGCTGGAAGACAAAGGCTCCTATTTCTGCTGGCTCCAAGGAGAGCTGGCTGCAGAGATCAGACTGGGGGTGTATCTGCGCTTGGGGCGTTGGCGACTTTGCGTCAGATCTTGGACCCAGAGTCTGTCTATGCACTGCAAGTTATACTTGCTTGCTACGCTGGCATTTCTACTATGTTTCTCCTCACTGTGTTAGTCAGATTTATTTGGCAGATAAGCAAGGAAGAAGCATCTGCAGATATTCACAGAACTTGAATTTGCTGTAGTTATACTGATGCACATTTACTGTGAAGTGCAAGGTGAAATCGAATAAATATGCTGCTTAATGAATTTTCTGAATTTAAATTTTTTTGAATCTTTAAAACATTTTTTTATTCATTAACAGACAGAGTGACAATGGTAATAAATCACTGTATTTTTCTTTTATTGTGAAAACATTTAAATAATCATCATGAAATACAGAAATGTAGAAGAAAAAAGAGAAACATTACATATTGTGCAGTGAGGGTCCAAAAGTGATTTTACTTTACGTTTTCTAATTGAATATGTTATGACAGACCTTTCAAGATCAGCTCCGGAATATATATATATACAGTATATATATGCAGTGCACAGCATAAATGAGTACACCCCCTCTAAAACTTAACAAATTCAGCAATTACTCTTTACTTAGAAGACATGTTAGGGTTCTTTGGAGATGTAATGTTCCAACAAGCCTGCTTGATCAATTACCAAAGAAGAAT